TTTTTTTTTTTTTTGAGTTGGAGTCTCACTCTGTCACGTAGATTGGAGTGCAGTGGCTGCTCCCAGCCACCGCAGCCTCGACCTGCTGGGCTCTGGCGATCCTTCTGCCTCAGCCTTCCAAGTAGCTGGAACTATAGGCACGTGCTACCATGCCCAGCTCATTTTTGATTTATTGTAGAGATGAGGTCTCGCCAAGTTGCCCAGGTGGGTCTCGAACCCGCGGGCTCAGGCAATCCACTCACCTCGGCCTCCCAAAGCTCTGGGATTACAGGCTGAGCCACTGAGCCCGGTGAGTCAAGTTCTTTACAACTTAATGACAAGAATGACCTTTATTCCAGTATCCACTACCTTTTGCTTCTATAAAAACCCAGTCTCATAATGAACCCACTCACACAATAACATTAATCCCATTCATGGGTGGGTTTGGTAACTCAGCCTGTAATCCTGTACTTTGGGAGGCCGCGGTGAGTGAATTGCCTAAGCCCGCGGGTTCAAGACCCGCCTGGGCAACTTGGCAAGACCTCATCTCTACAATAATTCAAAAATTATCTGGGCCTGGTAGCGCGCGCCTGTGGTTCCAGCTACTTAGAAGGCTGAGGCGGAAGGATCGCTGAAGCCCAGCAGGTGGAGGCTGTGGTGGCCGGAGCAGCCACTGCACTCCATTCTGGAGGACTAAGTGAGACTCCAACTCAAAAACCAAAAAAACCCCAAAATCCCATTCATGAGGCTGTTATGGTCCGAGTAATGCTTGGTGCGCTCCCTTGATATCAATAAATCAAAGGGGCAGGAACTGGTAGAAAGAAGTTTATTTCTGAGTTCAAGTCCAGAAAGGAGAACCAGACTCAAGGTATTTCTGAAATGGTTCTGCTCACCTTTAAGTTTTACAATCCCCTTGTATAAGTTTAGGTTTGTTGGTACCTATATATTGACAACGTGACTAGAAGAGCATTGCGTAGAACCTAAGTTACAGCTGCATTTTGTCAGTAACAATTTATGGTTCACATTTCCTGGCACCAGTTACCAGAGGTATCTCACAGCTTTTTTTTTTTTTTTTCCTGAGTTAGAGTCTCACTCTGTCACCCAGGCTAGAGGGCAGTGGCACACTCACAGCCACCGCAGCCTCTACCTGCCAGGTTCAGGTGATCCTTCTGTCTCAGCCTTCCAAGTAGCTGGTACTACAGGCATGGGCCACCATGCCTGGCAAATTCTTCTTGATTTATTGTAGAGATGAGGTCTCGCCAAGTTGCCCAGGCTGGTCTTGAACCCGTGGGCTCAGGCAATCCTCTCACCTAGGCCTCCCAAAGTGCTGAGATTATAGGCATGAGGTATCTCACAGCTTTTTATCAATAACACTAGACAGAAACATTAATCAAGCTTCTAAAGGTAGTTAACAGGGCCTAAGACATTATACATTGCTACATGTTGTTATATGCAAAAGTTATACAAATTACAAGACTTATGATTACATTGATATAAAAGTTATGCAATTACATTGATACAAAAGTGATACAAATCACAATACTTATGATTACCTTGATGCTATATTATACAAACCTACGATTACTAAGAAAAGGGAGTAAATGGGAATTTATTTCTCTCAGTTAATTGGGCACAGAAGTTATTTACTGGGAGTGCCTAGGAGATAAGGGAAGCACACCTTCTGTTAGCTCCCAGGAATGTGGGTAGTGTGGGTGCTAGGTTCTCAGTTCCACACCATGCCCTTCTCTAGGGCAACATGGACAGACAATAGCAGGTCTCCATATCAAGACCAGAGCTCTCATGGCCTAATCACCTCTTAATGGTCCCATATCTTAATACCATCACAATGGCAATTTTCTTTTTTTGTTTGTTTGGGTTTTTTTGGAGTAGGAGTCTCACTCTGTTGCACAGGCTGGAGTGCAGTGGCATGCTCCCACCCACCACAGCCTTGACCTCCTGGGCTCAGGCAATTCTTCTGCCTCAGCCTTCCAAGTAGCTGGAACTACAGGCATGTACCACCATGTGCAGCTAATTTTTTTTTCTTTGAGTTGGAGTCTCACTCTGTTGCCCAGACTGGAGTGCAGTGGCCACTCCCAGCCACCGCAGCCTCGACCTGCTGGGCTCCGGTGATCCTTCTGCCTCAGCCTTCCAAGTAGCTGGAATTACAGGCGCATGCTACCATGCCCAGCTAATTTTTTGATTTATTGTAGAGATGAGGTCTCACCTGCCCAGGCGGGTCTCAAACCCGCAGGCTCAGGTAATCTACTCACCTCAGCTTCCCTAAGGTGCGGGATTACAGGCTGAGCCACCAAGCCCAGCTTGTGCAGCTAATTTTTAGTGATTTATTGTAGAGTCAAGGTCTCCTCACATTGCCCAGGCTGGTCTCAAACCCCTGGGCTCAATCATCTCGGCTTAGCCTCCCAAAGTGCTGGGATTACAAGTGTGAGCCACTGCACCCGACCTAATTTTCAACATGAGTTTGGGAGGGAACATTCAAACCATAGTACCATTCTACCAAGTTTGTGTTAGTTTTTAAATTACTTGTCAAAAATTTTCCTAGGTCTCTGACTGGTTCTTTTTTATAAATTACTTGTTCTTGTCTCATAAGTACCTCTTCCGGTGTTATGGTTTATTTCAAAACCCCCTTTTAGATCTGAGATTTGAATTATATGTGCTCTGCTGATGAAAAGATGCCAAACTCTGTAAAATATTTTTAAATGGTTTATTCTGAACTAAACTTGAGGACCAAATTTGAGGAGGTTCGGATAACACATGCCCCATCCCGTGGTTGAATGGTGACTTACTTATACACAATTTTAGGATGGCAGAAGTGATAAAAACCATAAATCTATACGTGTAAGATTTTCATCGTTTTTTGTTTGTTTGTTTTTTGAGTTGGAGTCTCACTCTGTCACCCAGACTGGAGTGCAGTGGCTGCTCCCGGTCACTGCAGCCTCGACCTGGTGGGCTCTGGCAATCCTTTCGCCTCAGCCTTCCAAGTAGCTGGAACTACAGGCGTGTGCTATCACGCCCTGCTAATTTTTTGAATTATTGTAGAGATGAGGTCTCGCCAAGTAGCCCAGGTGGGTCTCGAACCTGTGGGCTCAGGCAATCCACTCACCTCAGCCTTCCAAAGCACGGGATTACAGGCTGAGCCACCCAGCCTGGCTGAGATTTTCATTGTTTTGGCCAGGAAAGGAGGGACATTTCCAAGCAGGTGCTTGTAGGTCATAGGTGGTTTCAAAGATTTCTTTTTTTTTTTGAGTTGGAGTCTCGCTCTGTCTCCCAGACTGTCGTGCCGTGGCAGCTCCCAGCCACCACAGCCTCGACCTGCTGGTCTCCAGTGATCCTTCCACCTCACCCTTCTGAGTAACTGGAATTACAGGCATGCACTACCACGCTCGGCTGATTTTTTTATTTATTGTAGAGATGAGGTCTCACCAAGTTGCCCAGGTGGGTCTCGAACCCGCGGGCTCAGGCAATCCGCTCACCTCAGCCTCCCAAAGGCGCGGGATTACAGGCTGAGCCACCAAGCCCAGCTCAAAGATTTCTTGACTGGTAATTTGTAGTTCTTACTTAAGGAATTTTGGGAACCTTAATTTTTTTGTTGAGATAAGGGAGGCTAAAAGACTCCATGTTTGTTGATATGCAGATGAAGTCCTATATGTGGCAGACTTCAGAGAGAAGAGATAAGTATCTTACAAGATTCCTTAAGTCTGAGAGTCCCCAGGAGATGGCTTTTTCAAGGCCATGAAATACTTTGATTTCCATTTTTTTTTTTTTTTTTTTGGTAATGTGATGTTATGCCAGAGTCAGGTTGTAGTATATAGGGTAAATAGGGTAATAAAACTGTGTCTGGTGAGCTTCTATAGGTATGACTCCTCAAGACTCTTAGGAATTTGGATAAGAGGAAAAGAGTCAGATTTAGTCCTCAGTTCTAAAGTCCTCTTCTATTGTTCTGTTAGCTGTGTCTCCTCAGGTGTAAGTTTGGGCTAAGGTGCTGTCCTTTAAACTGGTGGTGTCATACTAGATGGGTGATTCTCAGTTGTGCCTTGCCTTCATACCTGAAGTTCCCTACTGTTCTGTCCAAAGCATCTGACCTTAAGAGAGAAGCACCAGCAGTAATTCCCAGTAAGAGTGAGGGATGGGAGAGAAACACTGGTGACAAGTCTTGTTGGCACATGTTATGGCCTGAAGGACTCAGAAAACCTTATCTGGACCCTAAGAACCAGATAGTCTCCAGGCAACATGGGGAACCTACTTGCACTGTCTCCCTCACACCACTGCCTCAGGCTTCAGCTCTCCAACCTGCCTCTGTAGGAATCAATGTCGTTTATCCGGCTCATGCTCCCCAGTAATGACACCATTCTCCTCCTACTAGTCCCTAGTCTGTCCCCAAAATGTATATATCTCCCACCTTCTGGTCTCACCTCTGGTGATCAAAAGTGCAAGTTACCACATACCCCGCCTTTTGTGCACATGGTGAAGTTGCGATCCCTGTTCTTATGCGGCCTGTATGAACAGAAGTGCATGGCCCTCCAGAGCTTCCATCGCCAGTGTGAGCCCCCACGGCTCTTGTTTATTCCTGGCAAGGTGATTGGAAACATTCACAATCTCTCTCCCTTAGTGTGGGTCTGAAGAGTCACACTAAAGAGAAGCCCCTCACCCCCTGCCAGCCTGAGATGGACATGCAGCCTGTAAAATAAGCTTGGTTGTTTCAGACATCTGTATTTCATAGTCATCTCTGGCTGGATCATAACATAACCAATGTAGTGCAGAAGTTGGCCGTCGAAGAGCAGTGCTAACAAAACATATAACACCGCCTGTGGCCGGCAGAAAACCTACTGGAATGTGGAATGTTGACCTATTGTGTTATGTGGCGGCAAAACATTTGGTAAAACTCAACTCTGATGATTCATGAGGCAGATAGTATGATAAATTTGTAAGTCTTAGAAGAGATTGGGAAACAATGTTGGCAGTGTCGGTCACAGACTGTTTGACAAGACATCACAAGGAAGACATGGGTTAAAAAAGTTTTGTTTTGCAAGCTGGGAGGAAAAGGCATCAAGGCAGGCCAGGAATCCAAGGGCTAACAGGGCCGAAAGGGCACTCCTGCTCACCCTGGTGGGTGGCATTCAGAGCCAGGACAGAATGCAGCGAGGGTGTTGTGGGTACATTGGGCAAGGCAGCACAGCTCAGCATCAAGTGGAGGAAGTGCTGTGGGTGTGGCCATAGCACCTGGAGTCACTGCAGACCACAGTTGTGGAGAAGTTGAATTGCCAAAGAAAGGAAGAGCCCAGGATTAAAGTTTGTGACTATGGAGACTTGCAAACAACCCTGGCTGTTTGGAAATCGGAAACAGCTGAGAAAGTGATTCAGCCACTCAGGGGGATTCTTTGTGGACACCGTCTTCTGGTGTGGCCAAGAAGGAAACAGGAAAAGGGTCCTCCCGAGGGTGGCACCCAGTACCACAGAGAATACGACTAAGTGGAATCGGGGGCCCATTCCCGGACTATGGCAGTGCCTGCCTGCTAGGGCTTTAGAAGGATGTGGAATAGGGACTGTCAGGAGCCCCCACCCTCCCTTCCATAGGGCTTAGTGCAGGTATCCCATCCCCGTCCCCTGCTGAGTATGAAGAACAGATGTTGATGGGGTGGAGCCTCACTCAGCCCTGAAATAGGAACTGTGAACATTACCCATCATGTGTAGAGACTACCCTGGACCCCAGGTTGGAGCTTGCCCTGACTGAACTGGGGCTTAGGCTGTCTCCCTTGGGGAGGAGGAGTGGCACTGCATTTGGACAGGAAGGAGGGTGAATAGGACATTTGGGGGCTGTTCAGTGGTGGTGTCAGGGTCATCTGCTTGCCACCTCTGGTCCTCCCTACCATGGTGTGTGGAGTGGGGCTATGACTGGGCCTGGCCACTGGGTTGGGAGAAGAGACAGGTTGCTTTCAGAGGCACAGCATGTTGCCCAGATGGGAGGCTCTGCAGGGTGTTGTGGGGCACTGGAACGGTGGTACTGCTCAGGCAGTCGAGACTTTGGGGACCCTGAGGAGCAGTACCATCCACCACGCAGGAAAATGCAAATCTCAATCCTCCAAGGATTCCTGCCACCCACCCCTTTTCTTTGCACCCCAGCTTAGAAGAAGACTACCACTGAGGGTGGAATTTGGCTAAAGCCTGAGGTAAAGGTCCAGAGTAAGCATGTGACAAGTGACACCTCAAGGAGTCTGCTGGGGACTAGGGTTGGCCAAGGGGCCTAGCCAGGGCGCTGGGAGCCTGCTCTCAGGTCTGTGTGTCAGCGGGGGTTGTAACCAGCTTCTGACCAGCTCTGGGCCCTAAGCCCTGGCAGGCCAGCCATACCCCACACAACTAGCGAATGCAGAGGACCAGAGATGGGAGGAAGAGGAAGGGAGGTCAGATTTGCAGAGTGGAGGTTTAATGGGACAATCACCGTGATACCCCATCACAGCAGTCCCAGGCTGGAGACCGCAGGCCCCGGCTGCCTCTCCCAGCATGGTGGGCCTAAAGAGAGCACCAGCACCACCTCCCCTTCCCTGGGGTATTGCTGTACCCATGTGCCTCCTGCCCCCCCACCACGGCCTACAGCCCCAAGAGACAGGCTGTCCTGTCCCCACATTCCCCCTGGATTCTGAGACCCCATGTTCTCTGAGAGAGTAAGGCTGGCTGTGGGCCAGGGGGACCCTCCCTGGGACATCCATTTTTTTCTTGTGTTCCCTGTCTCCACACTGAGGAAATGTCTGTGTCCTTGTCCCTCTGCCAGGGGCCAACTGAGGTTGCCAACCCTAGGGGCAGGTGCAGGGCTCTGAAGGGAGGGGACGGCTCAGAGCCCTGCAAGGAGGCATGCTACAGGGACAGCACAGCCTAGGCCTCCCGGCAGACATAAGGCACAGTGTGGTGGTTGCCGTGGGGCTGCTGGGCCATTGCTCCAGGAGCAGCACCGGTAGGTGCTGGCATCCAGAGCTAGGCATGGCTGCCAGTGTTGAGACAAGAGGCGTGGCATGTGTGGGCCGCCCCAGGGCCTGCAGTGCAAGAGAGCTGGGAGGGGGACAGGCCTACATCCACAGGCCTCTGCCGGACAGGAGGTCCGTTTCCCCATGCTCCCGGACTGGGAGAGCCCACAGGAAGAGCTCACAGGCCCGGGCAGAGCTCATGGCCAGAGCCAAGGCGCAGTCATGGCGGGCCCGGACCACAGAAGGCACAATCGTGGTGTCTGGGAGGTCGAGGGTCAGCCCGCCAACAGGACTAGGCAGACACATTGACGTCCCTGAGAGAGATGGCACTGCTGGGGGCCTCATCCCCAAGCAGCAGGGCCGGCGAGTCCGAGTCTGGATCTGTTCTGGAGCTGCCCAACTCCACACTGGGCTCTGAGGTGGCCTCTGAGGTGGGCTCCATGCTGGGGCCCAGGCCCTGGGACAGGATCTGCTGGATGGTTCTGCGCAGGTTGGGGTGCAGCCGGCCCTGCGTCTGGTAGAAGACCTCCAGTGCAAAGGACTTGAGGGCGCCAGTGCAGAGGTCCTCGTAAAGCGGGATGGTGTACATGCGCGACATCTGCGGAAGATGGGGGTAGTCAGTTGCACAGGCAGGCTCCCTGAGCCCCTCCCACCAACTTACCCTGTCAGACTAGCTGGATGACCCTATCGTCCCTGGGCCTGCCCCAGATTCATCATCAGGGCCACAGCCTGAACTCACATGGTCACAAGGTCAGCCATTAGCCTCTTGCTCCCATACTACCAGGCCTCTATGGAGGACCCATTTCCAGGGAGTTTGGGCTGGAGAGGGCACAAATGGGGAACAGGGAAGCCACAACAGAAGGTTGTGTTGGCGGGACAGACAGACCTGGGATCCAGGCCTCTGTCTGAAGAGCCTGGATGTCCCTATGCCCAGATTGGAAGCTGGACACCCGTAGGCTCTGGGCCCAGCAAGTTCAAGGCTGAGATGGGCCTAGAACCCAGACTCCTACTCCTAGCTTGTTCTTTCCACAACTGCTCCAAGGACTGGTGGAGTCCAGGCAGCCCCCTGGCGCCTTGACCCATGCTCTTCTCACTCAGATCATGCCCCCACTCTCAACCCAGACCCCCACCTAGTCGCACCCCATTCTCCAGGAGGTGTGGTGAGACTGGAGTCAGGTGGGACAGGATTGGTGGGGATGGTGGGCACAGCCCCAGACTCCGAGCCTATGCCAACCCCCAGGCCAAGTCCCCGGGTAGATGGCTGCACCTGGCTCTCCAAGAAGCGCCGGACCCTGTGGAGGTCAGGATAGTAGTCATTGCGGACCACGATTTGCAGCCAGCGGATGCGGATCTCAGCATTCATCGAGTCCAGCAGGGAGGAGTAGCACTTGGACAAGCTCATCACCACCTCTGCAGGGCAGGATGCAGGTGAGAGCTGGGTTGGTGCCGCACCACCTCCCCCAGGGCCACCCCCATCAGCTGTAGGGACCCACCCTGAGGCAACGGGGACCCATCCAGGAGCCGGTCCAGGAACAGTGCTGTCTGAAAGGTCCTCCACTTGGAGATGTCAATGGCACTGGCTGTGGCAGCCGCCTGGTCCAGGGGCTCTGCAGTCCACAGCTGGAAGAGGGCCTCCACAGGCCGGGTCAGGCTGGATCCCTGAGACAGGTCTGGCTCTGCCAGAGGTGGGCCTGTGGCATTGAGCCAGCGCTCGAACTCCAGCCCTATAGGGGAGAAGTAATCTGGGGACCCTACCTGAACTGGGGAGGGGTCGCCTGAGCAGCCTGCCCAGAAGACTCCAGACCTAAGTGCATCCCTGGTCAGGTGATCTGTTCCAGGGCCCAGAAGCCCCCAGGGGCATGGGCCATTCCAGAAGTCCGGGGTCAGCTCCAGCCAATACTGTCACTTGAAGCCATTATAGGGGCTTCTATTTTTTTTTTTTTTTTTTTTTTTTTTTTTTAGTCTCACTCTGTCACCCAGACTGGAGTGCAGTGGCCGCTCCTGGCCACTGCAGCCTCGACCTGCTGGACTCTGGTGATCCTTCCGCCTCAGCCTTCCAAGTAGCTGGAACGACAGGTGCGTGCTACCACACCCGGCTCATTTTTATTTATTGTAGAGATGAGGTCTCGCCAAGTTGCCCAGGCGGGTCTCGAACCCGCGGGCTCAGGCAATCCACTCACCTCAGC